TCTTTTAGTCGAAATATTATTTAAGTTTTGTTGTATGTAATTGTATCCATGAAGTGGTTACCTGACATTAATAGGGTTCTTTAGCAGCTCATGGCAGGGGAGGTGTGTGTAACGCCCGTGTTTCTAGGCTAAGCATTAATATAACGATGTAATAGTTAGGGTCAACAATTGTAACCTACTTTGAAGTAATGAAGGGAAATTATTTGAGTATTATGTGAATTATAAGATTTATGTGCATTATACTTGCTATTAACGATGTAATAAAATAATAATAAAAATAAGCGTCAAAAATAAAATAATAGATAGACCCAATATCTATGAAGAAATTTGAAGTAGTCGTAACAAGGATTTCGGGGATATAAGGAACACTGAAATCCGACTTATAACGAAGAAGTTATGATCCGACGAAGTTTTACGACTAAACCGAAATGACGTTGTGTGACGTAAAAAGTGAGTTTGCGATAAAATACTTTTTAGTCTTAGCGATCTAAACGAAAGTTGTAGATTACGTCGCCACCTACGCGTGGATATAAAGAATGTCAAAAGCGGAGCTCGTATGCGAACGTTACGAAATTTAGAATTCGTGAATAGGCTGATGCGAAGGGGGACATGTGGCTTAATCTCGGCCCTTGCTTTCTCCCCACGGTCTCGCATGCGGAGCTGACAGCTGGCCTTCATGTACGCCCCACGTAGTAGACATTACGCCCCGCGCACTCGCATGCGCGATCACAGCAGCCTCCACGTCGCCCCATCCGAAGAATGACAGTTGCCCCCTCGTATACGCAGCGTACTCCGAAGGGTACGCCCAACGTAACCGAGGATCTCAGCCTATAAATAGGATGTGAGGTTCCTCATTTTTCTTCACACCTTCACCCTTCTTTCTCTCTCAAACATCTATCTAAACCCCTCTTAATCCCAAGTAACTCCTAAGTACTAGAGGCGAGTCCAGGAGCGTCAGAAGGCTCCGAGAAGAAGAGCTTTCGGCTCGGAAGTTCTGCCCCCGCAGAGCCCGGTTCCTAGCCAAACCCTCTTATAAGTAAGTTATGCTTACCATACTTTAAGTATAGCTTATGTTTAAGTTTATTATCGTTATTATGAACCTATAAAAAATATATGTGCTAAGTATTATTAAATATAAAGTGTTATTATAATATCTTTTAACTACTCGCGATACGGGGAATCTGGTTTGAAGGGCCGCATAGGGTTGTTGAATTTCAGAACAGCTTAAATGCCAAAATGTCCTGCCCTCCGGTGTTTCATGTTTGGCCCCTGTCTGTACATAGTAGTTGAAAAGTATTGTTTAACACTTATAAAACAATATAGCTCGTAGAGCTAATAATTAGTCGCAATATAATTTAGACTAAAATCTCGCGGTAATGATACTAGGTTTCGTCGAAGGAAAATAAAATTGTTAGAAGTGTAACGTTGCCGAGTTTGGAATCATCAATTTAACAAGTGAGTGCATAGTTACTTTCATCTTACACATAGATTTGAAGTATTTAATATAAATTACGTGCTATGTGTGCATATTATCTGTGTTGTTGATATTTATGCTGGATGAACAAAATATTAATGTTTTATTTGATTTAAATTGTATATGTATTTTATACCTATAATTATGATGGGTAAAGATGGGTAGATGAAATAGATGATGAGAGATGAAATAAAATGATGAGAGGCCTCGATGTTTAAGCTGACTTAGTCATCTAGCGGAGTATAGATGACGACCATGGACTATTCTAGACAGTCTAGTGGAACGATGGGAGGCTCGCAACCTGTAGGTGTTTGTGAACGATGTGTTCACCAGTGTACTCCATCCTCCTCATGGTTGCCTTACTAACATATATTGATGAGGAATCCCCTAAGTAGTATTGTCTATCCTAATGATGATCCTTAGGCTAGGTCCCTTAATATAGATGCTTTAGGGACAAAAAGTGAGGATAACGGGAACGGATAATCGGGTTGATTGATTTGATGAAATTAATAAAGTTAATTATTGTGGGTTGAAAATCCTATGTGCTCACCAGACTCCCAAGCCCAACCCACTCAGTTTCTTGTATTACAGGTAGTGGCACAAGAGCATAGGTGCGATGATCTGATGAGAGATTATGGATTATAGGCCAATAGAAATAAATAGAATGTTGTAAGGCCTATGTTGTTTCTGTTTATGCTTTTGATCTGTATTGACAATGACATCCCGAGTTTTTAATATAATGAAAATACATTTCTTCGGAAATGCTTTGATAAATTCTTTATCATAATTTTTGGGAACAAATTTCGCAACATATTTGATCAAAATGATACTCTGATTTTTAAATAACGCATAAATGAATCGGTCTTTTCTGGCCGTGAAATTGGGGATGTCACATGGGGTAATCCTAGGAGGGCATAGGAAGTGCTTTAATGTGGTTGTAACACTGTTGAGCAGGTATTGGGAATATTATTATGAATAGATGACTTAGAAGACTCGGGATGATTCTTGAGGAAAGTATGGATAGGTGTGGAAGGTAGTATTGGGCCCGTACTACTGGAAGCACATGATCCATACTCGAACCGAGAAAAATTTTGGGGATTCTAAGGAGCTGGTCGGGGAAGATAGCATGGTTTGATACCATGATTCGTGGCAGTGGTTCCATATCTGTCAATCTTTTGGTCGCGTGACGAACTTCGAGGCCAAATCATTATTTACAGTAAGCACTTAATCCATTAAAACTAAGGCTCCAATTTTCCAGATCACATCAAAACAATGTTTTAATGGATAAAATTTCCAACTTTATCAATTTGCATGGTTTAAATAACTTCATCTCTAAACCTAGGTCTAAAAGGGGGGAATATGCCTCAAACCCCATGCATGGAACATTTGGGAAGACAAGCATGAAGTAAAAACACCTCAAAGGGTCTATAAGATCAAACAAAACCACCTTTGGTCCTGGACTGTTCAGAGTTTGACTAAAAGTTAAACTTGTCAAAAAGTCAACGGTCAAGAAGTTAAAGGGTCTAAAAGATCATTAGGGAAGACACACATGAAGTCAAAACACCTCAAAGGGTCTAGAAGATCTAATCCTCAAACCAATCAAAGTTTGACCAAATATTAAATCGGCCAAAAAGTCAACGATCAAATGTTCAAAGTCAACGGTCAATGACTGTTTGCAGCGCGACCCAACTCCTAGCCGCTTTGCTACCACTAGATGACAAAACACTCGTGACCTTAGTTCAAAACACGCACCACGACCCTTCCTTGGTCGCCTCGCGAACTCAAGGTCAAATCCGTCTTTCTTGTAATCACTTAGTCCCTTAAGACTAAGGCTCCAATTTTCCAGATTACATCAAAACAATGTCTTAATGGATAAACTTTCCAACTTTATCCATTTGCATGGTTCAAATAACACAATCTCTAAACCTAGGTCTAAAATGGGACAAAATGCCTCAAACCCCATGCATGGATCATTTGGGAAGACATACATGAACTAAAAACACCTCAAAGGGTCTAGAAGATCAAAAAAATCACCTTTGGACATGGACTTTTCCAAACTCTCAAGAATCATGACAAAGAGGGGACTAATCAAGCTAAAAACCTAGATATAAGGAGAAGACGCATACATGTTTGATTTTGATGACTTACAAAGGTCCAGAAGGCTATGAAATGTTGGAATAACTCTGGAATGCTTCATTATGCACCAAGGAGCTTGCTTCTTCTTCAAGAACCATCAAAAGCTCCATACTTTAAGGAAATAAGGCAATAGAGGCTAGGGTTTCGAGGTTTCGCTCTTATGGGATGGAGGCTGAAGAAAAATGACTAACCTTAGAAATTAGTGTCCTTATATAAGCCTCAAGGCCCAAGATTAGAGTTTGGGATTTATGTGGCTTCGCGTCGCGACCTATGCTTAGTTGTTGTGTGATTTATGACGTGACACGTGTCGTGCTTATCCATTAAGCTCGTCGCGAACAAGGGTTTTTCCCAAACTCCTCAATCTCATTTCCTCAAGATCCTAAAATAAGCACATACGGGAAAACAGGCGTTACACAACGCCATAATCTTAAAACCACAATGCATGATTTTTTTTAGTGGTAATCATAGTGCGTTTTGGTGTGGTTTTATGCCAAAATCAAATCGCAAACTGCATGTATCAGTTTTTGTAATCTTAAAACCACAATGTACAGTTTTTAAAGTGGTGTGGTTTCAACTTTCAAGTGATATGATTTCGGTTTTAAACCGCATAATGAAATGATATGATTTTCTACTGTGAAACATTATTTGATTAAAATTTTAGCGTTTAGCACTTACCCAACACGCTAAGACTAGAAATATGAAGCAACTTTTGTTTTTTTTTTTGGTTTTTGTTTTTTGTTTTTTTTTTACCTTTTATTACCCTACAATCTAAAGTTTTATGAAATCATAATTTTGGACTCTTGTCCACAAACACAATGACTCTTAAACTAATATGAGTTATAGTGATGCATTTGATATTTTGATTTACCAACAAAAGAAATGACCGTTTTAACTTAAAGATCCATAATAACATATTTTTTTTGAATATACATATAATTAAAGTCGTGGGGTTCGGTTTCTAGGGTAAAACTGCCGCACGGCATCAAATTTAGTCGGTTTTTGTCAAAATAAAAACCACAGCGTCAGTTTTTTATTGGTTTGTTTAGATCCGTTTGGTTTTTGGTCACCCCTAATGATTACACCAATGCAAGGTATCTGGTTTATGGGAAAAATAGTCCACAAATTTCTATGAGAGTTTTATTGAGTTACCAACATGTTTTTCACTGAACATTATAGTCTGATATTTTCTTTATGATGTTTGGAAGCAGTGACCTACATACACCAACCCAATTTTCTATATTTCGAACAACTCTAAGTTTAACATTAAATTTTATTATGGGATATTTAACAGCATAACTTAACTAATTTCTTTCCTTGAAATTAAGTAAAATCAATGATGATGAACCAAATCTCTGTACAACCAGACATGAAGGAAAACCAAAATTCAATACTACAAGAGAGACCACCATCTCCTGCTTCTGTTCTCCATTCCACTACTCCTTCCCCCCAACCACAGTATAAGACCAATACTCACCACACTCACTAGCGGAGCCACCACAAACCACCACCCTCCTCCTCTACCACCACCACTCACGTTCTCACTCCGCCCCACCAATGCATGGCTTCTGTCTGGTCTCCTCCTGTCACTATCTGTCGGAAGCTCGTATCTACAAAGGGGACAAGTATTGTGTGCATTTAACCATGGTGTAATACATGAAGAATGGTACACATGTAAACAAGGAAGTCGATTCACTACACTCCCAACACACACACTATCCTTACAAATCACACACACCAAACCCAAACCCTCCACGTCATCATCTCCAACCACCACATGTTCAAGATTCTTCACAAATGAAGCTGATGCAGGAGGCGCCCCTCTATCAATCTCACCATCAAGATACTCTCCAACACTACGCCATGTCACTTGCTCCTCCAAGTTACCATCAATTCCTCTCCTTTCACTGATTCCTATTCCGATTCCGGCCTCGGGAGACAGAACCTCCCTAAGCCAATCCACCGAGAGATTCCGTCCATTTGTCGCCAATGATCTGTGCAGCCGAGCCCCACCCAACAAACTTCCATGTGTGTTTTCACCATCACCATCATCATCATCATCATCAGAGTTCCATTGGTTAAGATCACCGTGGATGGAGTCTGAATCTGTGTCATAACTTCCAGAATTGGAATTAGAATATGGAAAGATATCAGTTTCCTCAAAAACAGAATCAAAGTCATCACTTTCCGTATCAGATAAAACTCTCCTCCATTGTCTTGATCTGGATTGATACCCATGGTCATGATCAGAGACTATAGGCTGCATATGTCTGGCTAGATTGATCATATCTGGAAATTCTTGTGATAATATATTTTCTATAGATTCTGGACTGCTGTTGTACCTTGTGGTAGGAGTTGAGTGTTGTGTGAGTGTGAGGGTGTCTGTGTCCTCCACAAACAAAAACTTACAATCCCCACATATGTTCATGGCCATGGGTTCAACCATCCCCTCAGATGAAAGAATTCTATGACACAGGCAACACCTCTTTGGTTCAATGGCTAATGTGTCATTCATGTCCATAAGTTACAGCTGCAAAAGTACATGCTGTGATTAGTCAATTCATGTCCATAAGATACATAGAAGCTATGGATGTTTGATTATTAGCTTTAACTCATTTATCATTGTTGTTTCCCACAATCTGTCATAACTCATAATCCACTTTTAGTGCTACTTTTGTTTGTTAAAACAACATACAGTTAACAAACAAATAATGGGATTATTGTCAGATGTGAAGAAAGCCAGCACACAAACTCCACTTAAGAGAATAAAATAATGGATAAGTGACGTTTATGTTAATTTAGCATATAGAAAAATAACAAAGCAATCAATTTAGAACTCCTATCTGGAGTGTGAAATTGAAGAATTTTGTTCCAATTTGTGTGCTTTTTATCAAAAGTAGTTCCAATCCACCAAAATGATCAACCTTTGCCTCCATATATCCAGCCCAATGAGAAGAGATAAAATAGTCATTAACACACAGGATGAAAGAGATCAACTTGAATCATGTCACAGATGAAGGCATATAATTAAACTAGTGGTGGCATTTCGTAATCCTCCATTTCCTATATCCATTTTGTATGATAAAAAAGATATTCAAACGTTTTGTGAAAGGTCAACGTTTATTATTACATATAGAAATGTGGTGTTCACTAGCATTGATACAACCCAAATGGTTAAACTGGATATACATGCGAATCTCCCTACCCTAATACTGATTTCATATATAAGGGAAAGGGATACCCATAAATTTACCAGATACTTACTTGTAAAAATCAATTCCGCACCAGGGATCATCAATTTCCTCACCTGAATTGAAAGACATACGAATCGTTGACCACGTTTTGAAATAAAGTTCATGAATATTAAAAAGAAGCCTATGATCAGAAGACAAATAACCTCAAATTTATCAGGGATTTGCGGCAACCAAAATCAAAGAAGAAGATCGAGAAGAAGGGGTAAACGCGATGGAGAGTGTCAGAAATTCCCACGATTGGTTGCTTTCTTGTTTTGGGTCCATTCATTAGTTGTCTGACGCAAGAAAAAGTTCCCCTTATCTCTTTTATGCCGCCATACCTTGAAGGAAATTTACAAATATGTATTAATATATTTTTTTTAACAAATAGCGAATTATCATTTAAAATCCTGGACTTAAAAAATTATACAATTTATTCAACTCTTGAAGATTGTAATTAAAATATTAAGTGGTGAATATAAGAGCACGATGACAAATTGATATATTCAACAATTGATATCGTGGACTTTGATATCAAGATTTTTTCATGTTTGACGTACCATAAAACTATTTTTAATTAGTGGTTTGGTTCTACTAAACACCTTGTTGAGGTTTTAGAATTTTTTAAATTGTTGCAAACTTTCATTATACGTTAAGTTTTAATTGGGTGTTTGTTATTCTCAAGGTTTTGAAGGGTGTTGTAATTGTTTTATACAGTATAACATTGATTTTGGTATTTGATAAATAAGTCTATAAGATAATGTAGCTCTAAATAAATTGAAAAAAAATATTTCACTTGAAATTTTTGTTTTTTAAAGTAAAAAGTTAACGAATTAATACAAAAAAAAAATGATACAAAATGGCAATGAAATTATTGGCATATCAAACGAAACGATATTGACGATGTTGGGCTGATAATGAAGAAAAACATTTAAGAGGACCAAATTTGCATGTAATGAATAGTGGAGGGCAAACATGTATAAATTGGTGTTTTAATTGAAAGAACGCTATCGCATACATTAATGTTTTCCCTCAAAAATTGAAATAGAATTCGTGAGACCAAATTTGGCGAGTTTGTTAGAAAACAAAAAGACGTGTTTCCGGTGTTTTTCATGATCTGAAAGCCTTTCATCTCCTCCGATCGCTGGATTGCCGTTCTGGTGCCCGGCGGTGGGTCATTCCGATGCCCTACTACGTCTCCATTGTTTCTCCCTCGTTGCCTGCTAACTGTGTATTTGTATATATTTGTATAATCAAAGATGGCGTATCGTAGAAGGCAAGGACTTTCTAGGTCTTCCACGTTTAACGAAGGGATTCTCCATCCGCGAGACCAAGATGAAACCACCACATCCTCCGCCGCAGCCACTCCTTCGTCACCTCTCGCCCCTCAGCCAAACAGACCTACCGACCCTCGTCTCCAATCTTTTCAATCCTCCGGTGCCTTTCACGCCTCTTTCAAAAATCGAACCAAGGTTTTTCATTACTTTTACTTTTAGTTTGTTTTTATGCTAAATTACACGTTTTCTGTTCTATTCTTGTTTAACAACATTCATACACATATGTGTGAATGAATGTATATAGATAAATTTTCCTCGTGTTAAAGGAACTGCATAAATGTCACCATTGTGTGTATATATTTGATATTACCCCTTTTTCCTTATTTCTAGCTTTAATTGGTTTGAACATTATTACGATTTCAGTCAGGATTCGTAGAAAAAAAAAGTTCTGCTACGACATATGATTATACTTCAATGAAGAGCACAAATGAACCAGGAGGCTTTTGGGGCGTTATAGCAAGGAAAGCTAAATCCATTCTTGATCATAATGGAAGTCCTAAACAATCAAATACTCCTAGCATTGCGAAGCCAGAAGCAGTTAGTTTCTCAACAAGTAACCAGGTGCTATATATATCACTTTTTCAATTTCATATATAGTTAATTTCTTTATTTGTTGATTAATTAATGTATACCACATTATCAATTAGCTAGTATAAGATTTTTCATATATCAGTAAGATACAATGTTGGTTTGTAGTTCAATGGTATTCAATTTGAGCATTCGAAGAAAATGGAGGCTCCTCCAAGATTAAAGATTCACGGTTTGGATAGACTCACATCTTGTTCCCTCAATCAAATTGGTGAGACCATTGGGAATGCTTTGGAGGTAAATCTTGTTATTGTTAGTTAAAAGTAATTATGAATTATTGTACATGTTTTTAGATATATATCTATCAAAGTAATTATCTTTTTTTTTTTTTTTTTACATTCAGGAAGGAAATAGAAAAAGCATGAGAGACATGAAAAGCGATGAAGAATTGATGCAGGAATTAATGCAGATGAGAAGAGGCAGGGGAAAGAATAATGAAGGAAAGAAAGTCCAGATGGATCCAGAAACTCAACTGAAGGTTTCTCGCGACGTAAGGTGGCAAATGCATGCATGAATCATGATGCATCATGCATGCATGATGGACATGTCAATGATAATATTATATATGAGATATGAGATATATCATATATGTAGGTATGTATTGTATGTATGATGGTGTTTGTTTGTTGGATTGCATGGGTGACAGGTGGCAATTGCAACAGCTGCCAAAGCAAAAGTGCTTCTTCGGGAGCTGAAAAGAGTGAAGGCGGATTTGGATTCTGCAAAAAAACGATGCTCTGAGCTGGAAGAAGAAAACAAAATGCTCCGAGAGGGCGACCACCCTGCACATGCACATGATGATGATGATGACATGGTATGTATGTATGTCTTGATTTTAATTTAATTACTAGTAGTAATTAACAGTTATAATTGAAAGAAATTAATTGGATTGTTTATTTATGAATTTAGATACGGATTCAGCTGGAGACGTTATTAGCAGAAAAAGGGCGTTTGGCACATGATAATTCAGTGTACGCACGTGAGAACAGGCATTTGAGAGAGATCATTGAATACCACCAACTGAGCATGCAAGATTTGGTGTATTGGGATGACGTCACCCAAGAAGTTCAAATTGACCTATCTACCCCTGCTTCTGTTTCTGCTTCTGCTTGGTCCCGCCCAATGGATCCGGATACCTCCCAACGACCACGGCTTACTACTGCTAAGAGTGTATGATCGATTTTTTCAATGTTTATGCATGGATATTATTAACATTGATTAATTTATATACATATTTGTTTGATTTTAATTATTATCTTTTTCTTTTAGGTTTTCTACCAATTTGTTATGATTGTGGCATTCTTAATTTCATTATCTTTTTTAGTTAGTTATATCATATATGGGTTTTTCTTTTTAATGACAATCGGGTTACTACGGTTTATGTGATTCTTTATATACAACAGCATTTAATAAATAAATAACTTCTGTCAAGATAAGTTCTCAACATGGATTTAGCCACACAAACAGATCATGGAAAGTGTATGGAAATTAAGGCCATTTTTTATTTGAACAGAAAATAAGGGAGGAAGAAGGTGTTCGTCTTGATTAAAAACTTGTTAATACATCTTGGTTTTAATTTTTTGGTTTCTTGCCTATATTTGTTTAGTTGCTTTTGTTCTTCACATTTCTTTCTTTCTTGATCTGTTCTTTCTTGATCCACCGTGTGGGAGGGTTTATCGTGTCTATTTTTATTAGGGTAAATTACACCAATTTTCCCTCGCCCAAGTGCCGAAAAACACGTTTACTCCCTATTTTCAAAAATTAACTCGGACCGTACCTCTTTTGTTTTAAATGTGCATGCTTCGTCCCTAATATGTGATTTTATTGCGAATTTAGTCTGTGCCATATTTGAAATGACCATAATGCCCTTTATGTATTTCTTTTCTAATTAATTTTATGTTATTGTTATTATTATTAATTAAAAATAAAAAGAAAAAAAATATGGTCCCACTTCATATCCAACCCCACCTCCCTACCCAACCCACCTTCCCGTTGTTGTCTTTCTTCTCTAAAGTTTTCAAAAAACCCTACAGCCATTCATCCTTATGCCACCGTCGGTGGATAATCTCTCCGATGAACCCTCTTTGCGTCCATCACCATCTCTAGCGAACCCTCTCTCTCTCTATTGTTTGAAGAACAGTTAGGTGTTGTTTGTTTTTTCGAAGCAAAAATTTGTGAAGTCTGCGGACCACCTCTGCAATCTTCTGTAGCAGAAAAGGTGGAACAAACGGCTGCAGCTCATAATAAGAAACATGTTTGTTTTTTAACATCTGCAGTAAACTGAAATT